GTCCGTGTGAGCCCTAGGTAAGGCAAAGGCCTGTAGTGTTAATGCGTCCGTGTAAGCCCTAGGTAAGGCAAAGGCCTGTAGTGTTAATGCGTCCGTGTAAGTCCTAGGTAAGGCAAAGGCCTGTAGTGTTAATGCGGCTGTGTAAGTCCTAGGTAAGGCAAAGGCTTGTAGTGTTAATGCGTCCGTGTAAGCCCTAGGTAAGGCAAAGGCCTGTAGTGTTAACGCGTCCGTGTAAGCCCTAGGTAAGGCAAAGGCCTGTAGTGTTAACGCGTCTGTCTAAGCTCTAGGTAAGGCAAAGGCCTGTAGTGTTAATAGGTCCGTGTAAGCCCTAGGTAAGGAAAAGGCCTGTAGTGTTAACGCGGTTGTGTAAGCCCTAGGTAAGGCAAAGCCGCGTTAAATAATCAAAGTTTATTATCACTACTAAATCTTTGTTTTGTGATAGCAAATAACTGTAAGAGTTAAATCCTGAACAGAGTTAAATGTTTTCAATATAAAATGAAGTATTTTTTACATTTTGGTTTTAGCTAAATACAACACACACAGCGCATATTTATCACGAACTGTCGATAGTTAAATATTTAAATGCATTAATATTCAAACTCTAGTTGTCACAATTATTAGTGGATTTCACCTGCATTATTACTAAAGTATAAGCTGCATTTTGTTTGAGCTTTTCCGATATAATTATATAAAATCCTCACTACACTACATGAACAAAATAAAAACTTCAGTCACACTATTTACACACCTACAAACTAAAGTATTGAACCATTCAGTTGATAGCAAGTCATAATGGCATTGAAAGAAATTTATTAGGACTTACAAGCAGGCTGCTTTTAGAATTTCTCGTGGTCATAGGAAACTATACAAACGTGCAGCATTTCATTACTAATCATGGCCTTGTATAGGTTCTTAAAGTTTTTGAACAGCCCTAAATCGAAAAATAAATTTAAAGGGCAGTTTTAACGTTCATAAAATAGAAAATTAATTTAAGGGCAGTTTTAAAAGTCCTTAAAAAGGAAACTAAACAGTTCCTTTGAATTGTTGGGTTAGTGTTCTGGTTGAAACAGTTCTTTTAAGAACTATTTCATTGTTATTATCACCATTCACCATGGTATTTGCTATTTTGAAATCCATCTTTAAGTTTGTCACCACGACAAAGTCTCTGTTTCATTAAAACAAAGAACTTGAAAGTGCTTAATAATCGTTGACGTACCTACTGTTTCTTCTGCTTTTGTCCAGGAGGACTAAAAACTACCGTACAGATAAATCAATGCGCATGTGAACAATAGTCAAACAGTCAAAGTTAATTGTGTTAACTGAGAAGGCAGGCTGGCCTGGTGGCCTAGATCTCATCTGTAGGAGGCGAGGTCATAAGTAGGCAGGATGAAAATTTTCCTTGAATTCTCGCTTTCCGAGATGAAATTATGATATTAAAACATGGCGGCCAATGGAGTGGAAGCGGAAATTAAGCGGAAAAGAAGCAACTACGCTAGAATAATGGCGTGCTATATATCCTTGTGTATATTCGTGTGTTTGTATTTCCCATCAAAACAACCAACTGTGACTATCTACCCGTTAAAATCTACCCGTTAAAATCTACCCGTCATATTCTACCGGTTTACCCGTACCCGTGTTTTCCAGTAAGAACTTTCAAGTTCAAAAAAACCAATTTAAAGGACACTTAAAAAGCTCTTAAATTAGAAAGTCAGCTTAAGAGCACATGAAAAGTCCTTCAAAATCAAATTAAAATAATTGAAAAGTACTTAAGCCTGGTTCACACTAGTTGTAAGAGTCGGAAAAATCGTTTATGGAAAAGTTTGAACACGCCAAATTCTACACGTGTCAAGAAAATCGGCTTTGCATTTGTGTGATTTGGTTTGTGAAAGCAGGCCAAGTTGAGAACATGTACCGTTTACACCTAGCGTCGCACAAAATCCATAATCTTCTCACATGCAACTTTATATTTTGCAATCAAACTATATCTGGTAATTCTACATTCCACGCAAGTGGAAGATTTAGTCGTGTTTTTTAATACTTTTTGTCGCGTATTATTAAAAAATTAACGCTGAATGTTCCTTATTTACTTGTACCGAGTAGCTTGATTTTCATGTTTGTTAATGTAGATCGTCCAGGTTGGTAAAGTCCTGAGAGGACTTGATTGACTGACGTTTCGACAACCTTAGCGGTAGCCATCTTCATTTGACTCTGAAGATGACTACCGCTAAGGTTGTCGAAACGTCAGTCAACAACAACAAAAACAGTCCTTCTCAGGACTATACCTACCTGGACGATCTACATTTACAAACATATAACGATACTCCCAGGTTCAAACCATTTACTTTAGTTTGATTTTCGTTATGATTCTTTTGCTGGAGATTTATAACTTTTTTACGCACTTCCATCATTGAGTTCTATAATAACTGGAGGGGAAACGTCAACAAAATTAGTATAAATTATTAGCGCGCGGCCGCATGGTCAAAAACATGGTGGTTTTTGGTGGTCAAAGTCAGCGGAGAGACGCGGGCTCATGAAATAAAATTTTTGTCGCCCACCCTGATTTGACCACCACGATTGCGAGTATAGAAAACATCAAAACTATTTATTTTCCTAACATAAACACTTTTTTAAAACTTTATTTATTAAACTGCCAACTTTTGTGGTTTGCGGATGCTGAAATAGCGACAGAAAAGGGAACATTTCTTGACTCCGGTAAGTAGCACAGTATTAGTTTTACTATTTTGTTTTTAACACGATACTTGAAGAGTGTTTCTACTACTAAGTTTTAATTTAAAGTTATTTTGGTCCAGTCTTGTTTGTTCTTCACTTTATCGCTCGCCAGACGTGTCGAAGCTGTCAATTTTATCGAGTTTTGCCATTTATCTTGTATCATGATCAAGGCATCAAGCTAAACTCTCGTGATTTGAATTGAGTTTACCTCCCAAAAATGAGGCATAATTTGTTCATGTTTTTTTTTTTGAAAAGATGAAGGGAAGGTTTACAACAGAGTTGTGTTGAAATTGAATGCAGTGCCATGCAAAATTAATGAGAACTATGGTATATGTTGTATAATAAAATAACTATTAAACTGTTTGCCTGCTCAATTTGACTGACTGTATAGTGTAGACAATTATAATGTGATCGGAAAGTTGGATTTATGCAAACAGTATTAAAGTACTACTTAGCGTTTCTGTAAATGAAGTATTTGTTATAGTAAACAGGTTACTACTTCAAAACCAAGATAAAAGTAGTGTGTTGAATAATGTGCTAAGATTTGTTTCTACCTTGAAATTTTTGTTCAACAGTAGCTTATGATTATATCATTAATATGCATGAAAAATTAAACATATTATTGTCTCATCTTATCAAATCCATACTTGTTATGATTCCAGGTGAGTTACAAATTCACATCGGATGCATTGGTTACAATGAAGTTGAATGTAGAAGAAGCAAAAATAGATGGCAAAGAAATTCTTTGTGTCTTATGAAGAATTAGTAGAAATCAATAAAAAGAATTCTTTAAACAAATTGTAAACAAATTTAAATTTGCTCATGGTCAAGCAACCTAGTCAAAGAAGCAAAGTCTGTCTACAACATGTGACCTTTCCAATTATTTAGTTTCTTTGTGCAAAATACTATTTTCGAGAAACTTGATTTGTAAGTCTTTCATTAATATTTTTTTCACCAAGAGATGAAAGGAACTAATTCAAAGGCTTGATGTAAAATACAAAGATTTAACAAGTTGTTTATCATTTAATCCCCAAATGTTAGTTTGTACATATAAATAATTAGTATTGGTAGCTGTAAGTTGTTTAAGCAAAACAGAAGAGTAGTAGTGCTCGAAGGGGTTTGCATTTTTGGAAAATTATATCTTGTTCATGACATATATTACACAATTCCAAAAAACTGTAAGTAATGCACAATAATATCTATAGAACTTGATAAATTTCTTCACCTACACTGTCAAATAACTATTTTGCCTTCATGCAGCAATAGACAGTGTTTTTGTCAGACAAACCAATGCACTTTAGTTTCCAAGTTTGTAATTTCAATGGAAAGTTAATGTAGTTCTGTTCAGTAATAGATCCAAGATTCTGCCAAGCTGTTTACAAATACAAATTACCAAGCAACAGTGTCATGGTGTTTTGAATTTTTTTCTTATTTGTAGCTCTTCTAGTTCAACATACTTTCTTTATGAGTTTTCAGTAGATTTATCAGGTAATGACAATACACTTATGATACTTATCCATGGTAAACTTTCAGTTGACTTATGTCGTAGGACTGAAGCAAACATTTTCTTGCTTCCTTAAGAGCATTTTTACACAGATTTATCCATTTGAAGCAAGAAAAATAGGTGCACCAAACTGTTTACAAACAGTCAAACACACAGAAGCAAGAAATAATGTATAAGTTTGACGAGATTGACAAGTCTAGCGAAGAATGCCGTTTGATTTTCACTTTGAAAAGGCTAAAATGTCATAAAATAACTTAAATGTTACATCCACAATATGCGTTTCTCTACCGTCGATCTTCTTTATTTTGATGTGTGTCTGTACTGTGTTTTTCACGCAATGCCGAAGCATTATTTTCACATGATGCTCTCGGTATCGTAAATGTTTTTTTTCTCACTTGTTTTCGTTCATACAAACAGTATTAGAAATCAGGAGGGAGTGGATATTGAAAAAATTTTTTAAAGTGGAAGTTTTGACCACCAAAATCCGCCATTACCGCCATGTTTTTTACCACGAGGCCCAGGCCCCTTTGCCCCTCCAGGTCTTATAGAGCTCAATGACTTCCATATTTATTTGTGTATTGCACATACGGGCAACCGTAGCGTCACTATCATCATTACGAATTAAACAGCGTCGCTTTCATTATCATTAAAAATTTAACAGCGTCCTTCAGTCTTCTATAAATTTTCCCTGGCTAGTGCTGTGGACTAGACAAACGTTGCCTATATTATTATTTCTTCTACGTTTCAAATCTTTGGATATAGATCCTGGTATCAAAGCACTGCGGAAAAAGGAAATCAAGATGGCGAAACGTACGTATAAGTCCGACAGTGCCATGAGCTTGAATCAGTCTGAGTCTACAACCAGTGCGACTGAAAGAATCCCAAGAGAAATGCTGGCTCTTTATGAAGAAGCAATCTCCGCTTTCACCCTAAGGCCAAGTTGTCAAATTAAAGAATTCGACATCAATATAGAATACAATATCATCGTGTTTGATATTGAAACAACCTCTTAGATAGAGGTGCCGAGTTATGTCAACTTTCAGCTGTCGACAAAACAGGTCAAAATATGTTTTCAAAATACATTTTACCTGATGATGAAATTGATTATTATGCTACCCTCGTTAATAAACTGTCAGTGCAAACAGTTGATAGAAGACGAACACTTTTTAAAGATGATGAAGCGTTGGAGTCACTTACCTGTCAAGAGGCTCTTTCGCTATTCGTGAAATACATCAAAGATTTCATGATCACAAGCAAAGCTAGAACCAACAAAGATGTATGCACTGTTTTAATCGGCCACAATGCAAGCTTGTTTGACATAAAAATATTGTTTCGCAACAGTGAGAATGATATCCATGAATCAATGCGAGCTTTAGAGATTATTTTTGGCGACAGTCTTCCTTTGTTTAAGCATTTATCAAAAACAAAGCATCCAGCGTTGATTTAGCCTAACGGACAGAGTTGCCCTTTAAACATGCTGTCGCTGTACAAGACTTTGTTTGGTGAAACATATGCTGCACACGAGGGACCAGAAGACGTTATAGCTTTGCAACGAATTCTATTTTCTTCACCAATCAAATTAACCGAACACGATATTATCAATCATTGTAAACCGATTTTCTTTAACGATGCTTTAAAAGATATGCAATAATTGGACCATCGACTCCAGCTGCTTCAAACAATGAAGAACAAGTTATACAGCGATGATAGTTTTTTCAAGCGGCGATAAGTAAAGACATGGCAGAAAAGATTGCTGGCAGTGGACTATCATACGCTGACCTCCAAAATCTGTACACAAACCACGGTAGAAACGCGCTGATTGCTGTATTATCGAAGCCACCTACAACATCAAACAACAGAAAACCGAGAGTGACAAAAGACAAGAGAGTTCTAGCCTCCATTCTGCATCATTTTGAACGATAAACTGTTAGATAAGGGTTTTAAGGTATCCCTGTTTTAAACGCTTAAACGTCAGCACTCTGTTTAACGGTGATGTTTTTCTTTCTTGTCTTCACGACACTTGAAAATTTGAAATCATTTAATTTTTAATCATTTAATCATCGCCCCAAAACATTCAAGTATTGTTCAGGGGCGGATCAAGAGTATGTCAAATCCGTCGCGCGACTGATGTTTGTAATTTTAAAAATTACCAATTCAAATTAATTAAAAATTCATTAATTATTCCTACTTTCTTATCGCATTTACCTCGTGATAAAAATCCAGCTTTATTTATTATTGAAAACAAATGACTAATCCAATGAATATCTCGTTGGTAACAAGATCAGTTGAATTTTAATTGACCTGGAATAACCGACTGATAAGCGGGGTGGGTTGACTTGTTCGACTGATAAAGGAGTCTACTAAAGCCAAAAACGCTTATTTTATTGGTCAATGGCCAGATCAGTGGACAGTCTGGAATGGTTTCGATCGATAAGAGGGGTGGCCGGACGTATAAGGGAGTCCAATTGCTATCTTACAATTCGTTCATTTGAATTTTTGTTTTATTGTGATTGGTTTGACGGATTTCGACTGATGGCCAACTGACTTAACATATATAGTCAAGCTCACTGTTTGAATTGAATGTTTAATCGTTTCATAGTAATTATTATAAGCATGATAGAAACTAAACTACAATCAGATGGAAGTTATGGAAATATTTTACAAATTCGTATTTTGACATGAATGCTGCTGCCCAAACTGTGAATTTTTTCAAGAGGGTGAAAAATTTATGGATAGATTGTAAATGCTTGGCAAAGACGATCTCGAGCGACATTTGAGTAATTGATGTTCAAAAGAAAGCCAACATTGTTTTGAGTTTTATAAACAGAAATTTATATCCAAAATCGTAAGTAAAGAACAAGTGAAGTTTATGCATTAATGTAATATATCAAAGTCAATTAATGCGAGTGTGTGATGCGATTTTGTCAATATTGCGTATGGTAAGCAGATTGATGCTTCTAAAATTGTTGTTGCCGAAGTACATTCAGTTATGATTTCTTTAGTGCTTGGGGAATCGTGGCCGTTATATGGCAGTGAAATCCTACATTCCTGCAAACATATTTCAATGGACAAAAAATCTGCAGCCATAAGGCGCCATACTATTATTTACTTTATCATAAACAAATGTTTGGGGCTTTTCAGTTTATGATCATTGATCATTCAATCATTGGACAGTTATACCACATATTGTTTAAGATTTGAGAAAGCTAACATTGATTACATGAGAAGCTGTTTACTATAAACTGTGATTTTGAGTCTTTTCTGATCCATGAAGATTTTTATGTGCTAAAAATCTACTACTATTATTTGCATAAATTATTAAGAAATGGTTTGTTAACATGGGACTTAAGGCTAGCAGAGAATTACAACTCTTCTCTTAAATTACAATACACTCATTCCACCAGTCTGGTCTCTTGTTTCAATTCATCCTTTTAAAATATGACAGCTCTTCCAACTCCGCTTTCGTAAATATCAAACTATTTAATTTCTACTGCTTGACTTTCGTTACTTAATTCATGCATTGTAAATATATATGTGTATGCATGGTTTGGTTTATCATTCTGTCTGAGGATGACTTTGAAATAAATCGAAAATTTACAGTTCACTTCGCGTTTTGTTTTCATTCACATTTTTTCATCTCAAGATATCTTGTTTCTTCAGAATTTGTTTTTTACTATCTTTTTTAAATTGTCGGCTGGACATGGCTCTAAGACTTTCTCCTTACCTTGAAAAGAGACCACATCGTCCACGTCGTGCACATGTACATTAGACACGATGTTTAAAAACGTTCAAAGAGTTCTTTGGTACATAGTTTATAGTTAATAGCTTTCCTCTCAGGAGCCGATGACTGGAAAGCAAGCACAGTTGATTCGCTGTTACGAACTGTAGGTTTTTATCGTGATTTTCATCAAAAATTGCTAGCCGAATCCCAAACACACATACATTTTCCTCACTCTTTCTTCAGGAGGTGGAAATTGTGAAATTTTCGGAAAAGCGGTCAATTTCGGGAAATCTCAGCGGCAAAGGAAGAAATCCGCCATTTTTGGCGTCATCAGATATCTAAGGCCGCGCTTGAGATAACCCCTCCAGTTATTATAGAACTCAATGGCAACGAGGGCATATTTTGGCGTTTTATACGTCATGGCAACATAACGAGCGCATTTTTTGTCGTTTTATACGTCATGTCAAGATAACAAAAGCATCTTTTGTCGTTTTATTGAAGACTATCTTCTAGTTTATGTTACAAATGCACAATAAGACACCATACAAAGCTTGAAACAGATGTGAATGTTGAAAATAAGAAAATAGCAAAAAAGTAGTGCAGAGAAAAAAATTTTATTGATTGATTGGTTTAGAAATCAATAACAATATTGCGATTATTATCATTACATAAATTCCCATTCATTCTTCATTGTCCAGTTCAGTGAGCAAAATAATTTGAAAGTCCGATTTTCTACAAACATTGTTTTTACTTGAAGAATTTCTTTACTTGACAGTGACCAACATAACGACCACAGCCGTTCTCAATACCATCCGCGTACCATCTTGCGGCATTTATGGCCGAGTTCTTGCTCCCGCCAAAACCGTAGGCGACTGAAGGGCAACTCAAGTGAGAAGGAAAGTCTCGCGGATTGCATTTTGCGTAGTACGTTTTTGTAGCCAACTTGTAGCCCAGTGCTATAAACACCCTGAAAAATGGGGCAACTGCCTGCGTTTGATCGAGCAACCCGAGAAAGAGCACCACGAATGCTGTGAATACCAAGACTTTCATAACGAAAATTGAAATCTAAATGTTGGAAAACTCCTCTCGGTTTTCCGTGAGCTGATCCTATAACACTTTGGGACTTTATTTTCCTATACTTAATTGAACACACAAACGTAACATCCCCCTTTCATTAGATATTTACAACTATTTATATTAATGGTAGCACTTCAGATATCACATGATTTCCTTACAAAGCTCATTCTCTCATCCTTGTAAAAAATTGTACGTTTCAGCTCGTTCCATCATCTACCTTTTCCAATGCAATATATGCGCTTACACGCCTACTAATAACGGAACCCACACAAATAAAAAAAAACTCTTAATTTACGTAAAACCCCTAAATTTAATATTGATAGTAATGTATTAAAGGAATTCCTCGAAACTAAAGAATGGATTATAAACTATTTTGTTCATGTTTTCACCTCTGACGAAAAGTAAGATTGCTGATTTCAACTGAACGCGAATGAACACTGTTGAAAATCTACAACTAAGTTACCGTAAAAACTTATTCACAATACAATTCAGAATGTTTGTTCGAGTGAGTTTTGTTGTCTGTTCTACTGCTGATAACTTGTAGCTACTGCTGTGTGACCTCATTGATAGATTATGACTAAATACAGTCTTTTGGAACATGCCACTGGGTTTGACTTACGTTGTCGTTTTCCTTATAGCACTGAGCATTGCATTAGAGTATCCCATAGTTAAGTTAAGAGCTTACAGTGACGTGTCCATAACGTGCATTTACTGTTTATCTAGAGTTATCTAAAAACATCATAGGAAAATGGGGATAGCCTATTCTTGTTTCTCTCAAACGCGTTATTAAAACTTACACACTTCGCATAATTACGTTCCTACACTTCAGTTTCAAGTACGTTAACCGTCTAGCCCAGTGGTCTCGCCTCAAGAGTGCACCTAGTTAAACTGAAATGTAAAAATAGGTAAGCATTTCGGATAGCTCGACCATAGGCAGAGTTTACATGTAAATAATACACATCGACCCTGTACAAAATGTGAGATACGTTTAAGAAAAATATGAGGAAAACCTTGATGAAGGTCTAATCTGTTTCGTAAAAGGTCCTGTTATCATCTTAAGCTTTCTTTATTGTCTGTGCGCTCTCGCTTAAAATGCATGTGATGTGTTTGGGTTCGAAGTGTCTTGCACTGAAACAAAACAGAGGCGACGTCCTCAAGAAATCTTACGATTTTTAGTAATAAACTCATTGCTATTTCGTATGAAAAATAATTTTTGAAGATAAATTCCACGTCTTCCATAATTCGTCCTGTAGGCGTTGATAAGTTGTTCACTACTTACCTCGAGCAAGTATTAAATCGTGTTTACTTCCGCCTGAGCAGAGAATGTTGCAAAGATAATATTGTAAAATAATTCGTCCTGTAGGCGTTGATAAGTTGTTCACTACTTACCTCGAGCAAGTAGTAAACCGTTTTTACGTCCGCCTGAGCAGACAATGTTGCAAAGATAATATTGTAAAATAATTCGTCCTGTAGGCGTTGATAAGTTGTTCACTACTTACCTCGAGCAAGTAGTAAACCGTGTTTACTTCCGCCTGAGCAGTTAATGTTGCAAAGATAATATTGTAAAATAAATCGTCCTGTAGGCGTTGATAAGTTGTTCAATACTTACCTCGAGCAAGTAGTAAACCGTGTTTACTTCCGCCTGAGCAGTTAATGTTGCAAAGATAATATTGTAAAATAATTCGTCCTGTAGGCGTTGATAAGTTGTTCAATACTTACCTCGAGCAAGTATTAAATCGTGTTTACTTCCGCCTGAGCAGACAATGTTGCAAAGATAATATTGTAAAATAATTCGTCCTGTAGGCGTTGATAAGTTTTTCACTACTTACCTCGAGCAAGTAGTAAATCGTTTTTACGTTCTCCTGAGCAGACAATGTTGCAAAGATAATATTGTAAAATAATTCGTCCTGTAGGCGTTGATAAGTTGTTCACTACTTACCTCGAGCAAGTAGTAAATCGTTTTTACGTCCGCCTGAGCAGACAATGTTGCAAAGATAATTTTATAAAATAATTCGTCCTGTAGGCGTTGATAAGTTGTTCACTACTTACCACGAGCAAGTAGTAAACCGTGTTTACTTCAACCTGAGAACACAATGTTGCAAAGATAATATTGTAAAATAATTCTTCCTGTAGGTGTTGATAAGTTGTTCCATATATACCTCGAGTAAGTAGTAAATCGTGTTGTTTACTTACGCTCAGGCGAGCAGAATTTGAGCCTTCAACACCTTGAAAATAATTGTTTCAAGTCAATCGGAACTCTGCTTGCGTTGTGAATTTTGTAATCCTCGGATATCGTCAGATACGAGCTAAGAAATAGAATACCACTTTAAGCGCTCGTCTCTTTTTCTGGAAAGTAGACGAAGTACCACTGATTGTTTTACAAATGTGGCCCCGATTCTCAAATTCACCAAACACTGTAAAAAAGATGTATTACATAATGTAATCTTTAGGAAGTGTTTACAGGCTTCTTTCAATGTCTTGGTTCATGTTTTGAAGAGGAATAAAAGCAAAACAACACGTTTTTCCCGCAATCTTGTCTTTAAACAACTTGCTTTGGAGTCAGTATTGTTAGTCATTTTTTGATGACTATACGTAGAGTTTGACTTTAGTTTGCCAAGAATGAATGTCTTTGAGATAATTAAATGATGATAAAAGTTCTGTTAACTGAATTTCTAGGATAAGACCCCCACAGTTCTGCCCCAAATTTAAATAAATTAACTGGGGAAAAGGTTGTAAAGCTTTGCCTATAAATACATCAACTTGTAACCATGACCTATTGTTTATTTTAGGTACATGCAGATAGTGTCATCAGAATACAGCCTCCGTAAAGTTCAGGTAGGACTCTTATGCAATATATATTTTTCACTTTTAATCTAAACCTTACATATTGCCTTTATGATGCATTAGCCTTTTTTGCAACACGGCCTTTACTGTTTCTACCCTTGTGAAAAAATGTCGTAACGCGAATTCTCAATCGATCAAATCTCTTAAAAATTTGATCTACAAGTTTTCTACTTTAGGAAAACTTAGAAAAGGGTCCTTGTAAGATGGTGTTTGTTCGTTACCAAGCAAATACAACAATATAAGTTGGCAACAAGACATGTTGACAACAATCAAAATTACTTCAATACAAGTTCATTACAATAAAAATTGACAACAATACAAGTTGTTATTTACAATTAAAGTGTTTATTCGTATTATGAAAGAAATATATTGTGAATTAAAAAAGTTGAAATTTATGCAGTCCCACGTTACGTGTGAGTAAGTTAGTGACCGAGAGTCGCGAAATTTTAAAGCCAACTACAAAATGTCAAGCGTCCTTTTGAAGTTTTCTTCCATCTACTGATGAACCATATAAGCTAAGAGAGCCCCAACTGCAAGCAACCAGATGGCGAAAAGATTTTTGCACCAGTAGACCTTAAAATCACAAGTACAATGGAGGTGATTTCAAATTGCTCTCTTAAAGTGTATTTTGTTACTCATATTAGGAATTTCTAGTAGTAAAGTTTTGTTTCTTTATGAAAGCTATTTGTTTCGATGACGAAGATAGTTAAGCCATTTTTTTTACTTACTAATGGACTTGTATCCGTTATTGTTAGTATGAGGATGGCATTTAAACTAATCACAAAGATCAAAACAACACTCATTCCGTATTCCATGTATCTTGGTCTTCCCCATATGCAAAATAAAATGACGGCAATTAGCAAAAGAACCTGAATAACAAAAAAATAACTATTTTACCCCGGTTTCATGCATTGTACCATCTCTGGAGAGGGAAATCAAGAAATTGAGATGTATGAGAAAACAAGGAGATGACCTACTCGTACTAAGCCTACACCCCATAATTGCGTCCTGGTAATAATTATCCATTTGAAAGGTAGCAGACAATGCACCCAACCTCTATTTATCCCCTACCCTATCTAGCTCAAAAAATCACCCGGAAATTAGCTTTTGTCGAAAATAGTAATGATTATTATCAAGATGCTTGTAATAAATGGTCTACTAATTTCAGGATGTTTAAGGGTCTGAAAGGACATCTTCCAGTAAAAGAGCGAAATGGATTTCCAAACTCGGATATTGGCCTCTTAATGTTCAAATATGTTCAACCAATTAGTGCTTTTGTGGATATTTCAATAGCCAATCAATATGTGTCAACAGAATTGAATGTAGACAAAATAAGCACTATGGTCAATCATTTCTGCAATTGAGTTTTTGTAAATGAGCAAGCTCATGTTTCCATATGCCTAAATTGTAGAATACTTAAATGGAAAACTCGCCCCGGCGGCTCGTGGTCACTTTTTTAGTTTTTATCACAAATGACGTCATACCCGTATATCTATAACTGTATAGACAACGGTTAAATGTTATCTGTTTGTTTTATAAAATAAAATCAAAAAATTCCCATATTAAACCGTCAAACAGTTTGTCTTCTTTTTCTCCAAACACTTGGAACATTGGAAAGTCTTGATTTGCAAATATCACGCTGACGTGATCTCTAGGTTTGAAGAAATTCTATTGGCTAGCTTAATCACGTGATAAAATGTGATTGGCTAACAAAATAAACAAGCAATGGCTGATCAATTTTGTTGAAATTTTGTTATCTAAGACGAAGGACAAATTAATGTTTGAAAACGGGGTTTTTTCTTTTCTTTTCTCTCAAATACGTTAACTGCCTCAACTAGGTCTTTGTAAATATCTTTATTTTCCCATTCAGGGAGGTATTGCGATAAATTTCAAATATATTCGCCATTTGTTTTTATAAACATGAAATTTTCTGTGACGTCAATTCCTATTAGCTCGCGACAAATGAAATTGCTCAACTTCTTCGTGTTATTATATTATATGTAATAACATTTAGTGGCGCTGGTACTAGAATTATATTTTGTGGAGAACACCCCTTAAATGTCATTAACATGTATTACGTATTGTTTTATATGCATGACTGAGTAATTTACTTATGTATGAAAGGACTTATGTTTAGAAAATATTAGAGAACAGTTGCCCAACGTCACCCCCTTGCCGACGCCTCTGATGACATTTGAAATAGTTTCTGTATGTGCGGCAATACTAATTATAGTTTGTATGAAATCCCAAGCTATGGTTACTTTTACGACTTATTGATATCAAAGTTTAAAAAGAGCTATATTTTTGATAATCTGACTGTTTTATTTCATAAAGTTTAAATTGTGCTGGTTAGAACATGGCAATGTAAATGAAGATGGACCGTCTACAACTTATCGCTGCTCTAAACGTCAACTCACTGCTTGGGATGACGTCATTCTTTTTTGTCTTTACATTTGTTCAATCACCCCGATAATAACTTTGCTTTCTAAAACTTCATGGAAGAAGCATGGTAATTTTTCTCTTTTTAGATACATGTTGAGGAAATTCCTGTGATTGAAAATGTCATACGGCAAAATTGAAGAAAAATACTCATTTATTAACAGACAGCTTTTATTTTGTCAAAAAATTCAACAACAAACTGCAGAAAGTTGATTAAACATAGTGCTTGATTTGTTTATAATTTATTTTCATCACGCATTCTGATTGGTCCGTTACGTAATTATGTCCAAAAAAGTGCTGATTGTTTTGACATCATTTAAAAAGGTCGCAAATATTTTTGCAACAATTTAACCACAAAAAAACTATCCCAGTTATTTTAATCTATTTTCCCAAATTCGAACCATAAAATTGCTATCTGGCTGTGAGTGCCCACGACATTAAACTACCAATTTTAGAAACAATCGCAAACAGGATAAATAACTCTTCACTCAAACAACGCATAAGCTTTGTTACAAAATAAATATAAATTTTCACGATTGAGTGTTGTGTACAAAAACATATGGTCAGCTTAATTATGTCTTAGCCAGTGTACATCCTGCATTAGATGGTAAGTGCAGTCTTGTCTAAAAGTAAGATATCTTAATTGTTCAAGTGCAAACCATTGAGATAAATATATGTGCTATCCTTTGGTATATATGCCTCTACTTACATGAGCCAGCAGACACTAATGTTTTTAGTTAAAGTCTCTCACTTACAGTGGTGCCTGTAGGATTTCATTTTGCAGGGGCAAAACACTCCCCAATTGTCACTTAGATATATTACGCATTGATTTATATGACCGGCATTTTTGAAACACGTATATTAAGACCTTAGCATGGGAAACATTGGGAGCAGTTGCCCCCCTCCCCCCACACTTTTCCCCTTTTCCTGCGCCTTTGCTCATTTTAAGCTTACTGTGTTAACAAACTGTCTTTGGGCCGTGCTTGCAAAGATTTGTTGAATTGAGGCCTTAAATTTTTGGCGGGAAGTAGCAGAGCAGTTACATATTCCGTTCATTCTTTAGCTATCTTCATGAAATTAAATTTTCTAAGGGTCATTTTGAATGCTTTTACAGACAAAATTATTCTAAAAATATATGATGAATCTATAAATAAATGTAACAAATATCAACATTTTGTTTAATGGTTCAGACCAACTTACCACACCAAATGTCCATATTTCATAGTAATGCGCTCTTATGTCAATCATCATCCTTTGGATTGGTTACAACACTAAAAAGAGGAAAGCACACGTTTAAAAACTCAAAGTGTATTCATTTACACTATAATTGTATGTTTTGTCGAAGAAAATTTTTACCTGCTTACAAAGTGTATTTTTTGTACCTTTATTTTTAAAATTTCCCCAATGTATGATTTGACGCATAGGTGAACCAGCGTCAGAAAAAAAGAATTATAGTCGTAATCTCAAATTCATACTACGTTCATAATTTTGTTCATTTAAATTGTAAATATATCGAAGAACAAACTATTGGAATTTGTTCTGTGTAATCGAAGCCTCCCTGCTGTTATGAAATGCTACATATTAGTTATTAGTAACATCGCTGACTTTATGCTCAATGAAATGACCAAATTTTTTTCGTATAAATTGTCTGGAATTCGTATCTTCAAGTAGGATACATAAATCATCTTTCATGTTTTTTAATTAAAGAAGAAGCTCGTTATTTTTCTTGCATCAGATCTTTGTGTTTAGTCGGTGAATTCTTCAAATTCCATTAAGAATTAAATCCAAAAACTATAATTTCAAACTTTTTCAACTGTCTCTTTCATCCTTACTTTTCCTATAGCTGCATTGAAATAGAGTAGAACTGTGTTTATTTTCTACCGAACTTCTGTCAGGATGCAGTTTTGCTTGGCTTAGGAGATTTAAAAATTTAAGCTATTCGTGATTCGCCATTATGAAATTAATTCCATGCAAAAATCTGAATAAATTACACCAAAACAAGTTTGAATAAGAACAATTTTCAAAACAAAGTTGAAGTACATGTACAAAAATTTTACCGAATTATTCATAGAGATATCTTAAAAACTGTCGTAAACTATCAAATTATGTCTCTAGCATTTGCGAAAACGAATTCCAGTCACTTTTATAGAATTTTTTTTGTTAAACATGCATATCATAGTTTTCATCTTAGTTGTCGCTTTATATGAACAAGGTATTCGTATACTTGTAAGCATTGCTACATTGTTCCTGCGAGGAACAATAAGCTACCAAGTTTACTTTTGGTCGCCATCAAGGAAAAGACGAAATACTTGCACAAGTATTAAATTAAGCCAGGTGTCATAGTATTCTACCTTTACGTATTTCTTAGCAAACTTATCGTACAATAAATTAACCTTCAAACGAATATTCCAAATCCTTCGCTAAAAACATCGAGTTGTGAGTCTTGTATGAAGCGTTAAAAATATGATCAAAATGTTCATTGTTCAAAAGTATCTATAATTCATTAGTAATAAAGTATCGATACATCAACGAATCATAATTATGAAATGAGCTTTTAAGAAAACAATGTACGCTGCTATGTTAAGCAGTTTTTAGGTAGTAGCTTTGGCACTAAAACGAACGATAAGTTTTAAATTTAAAAATGCTAAAATGGATAAAATTTCTCTATGTTAAGAAAGAAGAACAAGAACACGTACAACAGTATATTCACGAAGCAAGATACTTGGACCTAACCCCCCTCCCCCCAACTTTTCGTCGCCCAATTTTTTCACCTCTAGTATTATTTATAATCTCTATAGATTTCCCGTCCACGTAATTAGTATACAGGTCAGTGGTATAACTCATAGGTATGCTTTGAATAAAATCAAGGATTATGTTTAAATAAGACATTTTTATAAGTAAGGTAAACTGATTTCGGGGCCGCTTATTCTACAATTATTACACTATTTCACTGTTATTTTGCTCTATCTTTATTGATGTTTAGCATTCTACAACTGCAATATCGTATTATCTGTACGTATAAAATATAAAAAAACAACAAGAAAATTACATCCAGACAATACTGTTCTACAGGTATTTGATTACTCACTTTTTACGGGATTTTAATGAATATATACTCATATATGCGAGAGAAATATGTTGCTTACACTATGAAAGAGTTTAGAGTTTGATTTTTGATAAACAATCATGTATAATATTTTGAGAGCAGTCCAATTTCAATGCAGATGCTCGTATGAAAAAGTCTATTAGGACGAGATTTGATACGGCCGCCTTTTTCATGATCTAAGGCGTGAACGTCTTCTTCTCAGCTTAAAATGAATTCAAGTTTAAAAGAATGTGCAAAAATAGTGGTTCTCATTTTAATTGTGTAAATCTAAATTTGAAATTAAGCAAGAAGG